GGCAATCAAAAAGAATGAAATCTTGCCATTTGCAACTACATGGATGGAACTGGAGGGTATTATGCTAAGTGAAATTAATCAGAGAAAGACAAACATCATATGACTTCACTCATATGAGGACTTTAAGAGACAAAACAGATGAACATAAGGGAAGCGAAACAAAAATAATATAAAAACAGGGAGGGGGACAAAACAGAAGAGACTCATAAATATGGAGAACAAACTGAGGGTTACTGGAGGGGTTGTGGGGGGGGGTGGGCTAAATGGGTAAGGGGCACTAAGGAATCTACTCCTGAAATCATTGTGGCACTATATGCTAACTAATTTGGGTGTCAATTTTAAAAAATAAAAAATTTAAAAAAATAAAAGAACTCAAACCTTTCAGTTAAAAAATACTCTATTAACAAATAGGTTACTTTAGTATTTTTTCAAATTCACAAGTTTGTACTTTTGTAAATATACAACTGTCTTGTGAATAGACCAAAGTGATATTTAGTGTTTGCTCTATAGTTCAATTCTAAATTCTAAATATAAACTAACAGAAATAAATATACAAAAGGCACAGAGGAAATTTTGTGAGCTTTAATGATTATCTTATTTACTTAATACCTTAATGTCTAACATTTGATACTCAATGATTTTTTTTAATTTTTTGACTTTAATGGTATATTAGAAATTTGGTATATAGAGAGATTAACTGCTCTGAAATCAGAATAATTTGTAAAGTTGAATTTGTTAAGCCTGTGTATGTTAAAATTTCCTAGGCTTTGATATATATGTTACTAGACATATATACACAGAGTTTCAAATAAAAAAGGCATGAACTTAACATTTTTTCAGTCTCTACTCATGGAGGTTTCAAAATGCTTTCCTCAAATTAAGAGTACCAATATTTCCAGAAGTGTGACATTCCAAGGAATGAAGTGACACTGTTGGTAAACAGTAACAACAAAGCTACTCTTTTTTTTTTTTTTAAGTATATTTATTTTGAGATGGAGGGAGAGAGCACACTCAAGAGCGAGAGGGAGGGGCAGAGAGAGAGAGGGAGAGAGAAAAATCCCAAATGGATTTTTTCAGCATTGGGCTTGAACCCATGAACCTTGAAATCATGACCTGAGCCAAAACCAAGAGTCAGACACTTAACCAACTGGGCCATCCAGGGGCCCCACGAAACTACTCTTTTTAACGTATAGAAATACCTACAAATTCATTAGGTATTTTAATGCTTACTATTGTTAAGACAATTTCATAATAAGGAAAATAATAGTAAACATATATTTGTATCCTAAATGCAATAATTTCTATTAAAAAAAATGAAGACATGAAATCACTATCTTCTCAAGGAGAATATTTTAATCTGCTTTACAGATGAAATACGTTTCATTTGCTGATTTTGATTTTGCGATATTGCAAATAATATTCTTGCTGCTGAGCCTGTACAGATTGGTACAAGGAAATATTTCAGGACTTAGCCAAATTTTAAAAGTAGAAATGTTAGTCACAGGGGTGCCTGGGTGGCTCAGTCAGTTAAGCATCTGACCTCGGCTCAGGTCATGATCTCACGGTCCATGAGTTCGAGCCCTGCATCGGGCTCTGTGCTGATAGCTCGGAGCCTGGAGCTGTGTCTCCCTCTCTCTCTGACCCTCCCTCGTTCATGCTCTGTCTCTCTCTGTCTCAAAAATAAATAAACATTCAAAAAAAAAGAAATGTTAGTCACAGATCATTTTTAAGAGGTATCTTCAATTTTGTTCCTCAATATCAACACTATAGATTTAGAAGCATGAATCTATTTTAGAATAAAGCAAGTCAACATTTCACTTAGACTCATGAATAGTTATGGCCTGCTGTCCCAAGTTCTTCTGGAAGTGGACTCTGAGACTTTATTGGGGAACATCTTCTGTGAGCAATGAGGCATGCAGGATTGGGCAGTGGGAAAAGTTGAACTGTGATGCAGTCACAACAGAGGCCTCCTTCTATCCTAGATCGTATGAGGAGGCCTGGAACTGAAATCAGAACTTCAGAGTTGTCTTGTCTTGAGGCAAAAGGGAGAAGGCCTGACGCCTGTTTTAATCAGTCCTTGCACTCTGGAGGAGTTTGAGCTTGGGTGAGGCAGCACCCTCGCGCCCAAGGCGATGCATGTAAAGAATCTCAGGTGTGAGTCCTCAGCTCCCAGCGCTCCCAGCTCTCCCAGGAGCTGGGGAAGGGGGTGTGGAGGCACACCACAGCATCCACTACACCTGTGTTTGCATAGCCACTAGCCACGAGTATGCACTGACATGTCCTCTGCTTTCCAACCATCGTCTTGGTTTATTAAAACAGATAGGAAGAGATGGACTTAAATAGTTTGCCTAGGTTCCCTACATGTTATGACTCTTCCTTGATATTTTGTATCCCCTACTAAGGAAAACCCAGTGGCAACATTAAGAGAAGGTCTTGAATCATTCCTCTTAAGTGTAAATGAAATACGCATCTTGGGGGAAGAGAGGTAGGAATTAACTTTACCAAGCAATCAACCAACTATGTGCCTCTGACTGTGCTGGATAAAATAAATAAGCTTCAACTGTCTCTTTAACCTTTTTGGATATCCTGAACTAGAAGGGGGACATATAATGAAATAATTACAAAATATGTTCCTGCTGAATTGCATTCTTGTAATTATAAGAATGGAATGTTTTGATGGAAGCTACATTAACAGCTAAGGAGTTTTCCAACTTATTTTTTTCCCTCTATGATATTATGTTAGTCCTTACCTAATTTCTGATATTTTTAAGCTCAAGCACGGTGATGGATGTAGATGAATACCTTTTGCAAAGCATGATGTGTCACTCAGATAAAAATCACATAAAGTTATTAAAGCTCACTACTATTTGTGGACTTGTTAAACCATGTCACTGATACCCACCAAGGCATATTTTACTTTGAGTTTTCTGAAGACGTGCTGACCAAAAATTTATTTTGGTTCTTTAACTTTTTATCGAAAGAGAAATTCTTAGCAATACTACACTCAAGACAGACCTATCACCAAAGTTTTATGGGTGCTCTAAGAAAGTTTAGACACCCGCATTCAGAATACTAACAGGTGGACAAGAAAACAAGTTTATGTTGTGCTTTGGTGACTGTGGACTTGTTATTTTTTTTGCTTTTATCTGTGTTTGTTTCAACATCTGCCCTCTATTTTCTGGCTTGTACTACTTTTTATTTTAATTGGTTTGCTGATTCAAACTTGCTGTGTTTGGCCTTGCTGTTGTTAAGCAATATTTTAAGAGGGAAGTTAAAAAGAGTGGGAAAAAATACTGGTTTTGTTAATTTGGCTCCAGCTGGTTTTATACCTGGAAACAGGAGAGTTAATGGTTTTTCAGTATGGTTAATTAAATCTTGTGCTGATGGCTTCTGTTGTAGGTATTAAGTCACCCGCCTTGTTATTAACTCATCCACTGGTCTAGTAGGGTTAGATTTGCCATCAGGGAATCATTTTTAGAATGTTTACTTTGTGTTCAGTAACTGATTGAGGACAGAATGATGCTCGGCATCCAGCTGACCAGAGAGTTGATTGTGAGATTAAAAAAAAAAAAATTTTTTTTTCTATTTTATGTTTATTTATGTTTGAGACAGAGAGACAGAGCATGAGCAGGGTGGGGTGGAGAGAGAGGGAGACACAGAATCTGAAGCAGGCTCAAGGCTCTGAGCTGTCAGCACAGAGCCCGATGTGGGGCTTGAACTCACGAACTGTGAGATCGATCATGACCTGAGCTGAAGTTGGGGCTTAATGGACTGAGCCACCCAGGCGCCCCGATTGTGAGATTTTTAAACGTTATTCCTATGGGTCTCACTCTGCTTTGTTTTGAAAACAAAATGGCAGGCAAGAAAGTGGTGCAGACATGGGCCTCTCTTGTCTCATCTGTCTCTTAGAGTTCTTTTCCGTGAGAAAGGAAAACTCCCACTGTATTTTGTTTTCCTAATGCTTCTTGGATTTTCACCAGCAGGTTTTTACAGTCTGTTGCTTGCCTCTCAGATTAGAAGAATGCTGGCATATTTTAACGGTTTCCTAGGATTCAAACAGCCTTTAATTAACAGCAAATTGATGTTTTGGAATGTTACCAAAATATGGGAGACTGAACATTGGGATGTGCCTCTTTCCTTCCAGCTTCTGAGTGCACGGAGTCCTCTAAAGGGGAGTGGGGGAGAGGGGTGAAGGTGCTCCTTTGCAAACAGCTGGTTGCCTACCAGTATGCAAAGGGTGTCTTTGTTGGCATGATATTCCCACTGCTTGCTCATTGGTGGCCTTCTAAATTCCACCTACTCACGACTGGGAAGGAGGCAGGTAGTCCTTGAATGCTCAAAGCTGTGGGGTGCTCAACAGTTCAGGGACTGCTTGGTTTGTAGCTGGGTTCACTTGTTTTAATCTTCCAGTTGCCAGGGCAGTAAGGTATGGCTGCCTGTCTTTGTGGTTAAGTTTCTTTTCCATGCCAAGTTCATGTTATCTTGCTGCCAGAGTTTTGGACATGCTGGAAAAGAGCAGTTCTGTAAAATAATCGCTTAGAATTGATGCACATTCTGAGCAGAAGTTAGTTTTCAAAGAGAGAGGGCAGTGCGGTGGAGGGTGTTCCTTCTGAATCAAGGGATTTCAGTGAAGGTTTTGTTGCTGATCCAGCCCAGAGCTTTAGGCAGGAAAGGAAGGATAGATTGGGGAGCATGAAATGTTTGAAAGGGTAACTGTTACCTACACAACCACGTAGTTATATCTGAGGAGGGGAAGGGAGAAGCTCAGCTGGCTCCCTCCGCCTAATGGCAGATCTGCTCATTGGCCGGTTTCCAGTTGAGGTCACTACACTCCATGGCCTCTTTTCTCCAGTAACCCACAAAGCCGGCCTTTTGGGCTCAAAGGACGCCTCAACGTTTTTTGGTTTTTGTTGTTTTTTTTTTTAACGGGCATCATGTCCCTGATGGCTCCCTTTGCTCTCCTCTCTGCAGGTGGTACATGCCAGAGCCCTGCTCTCCCAGCCCTGGTCCGTCCACCAGCCCCTCCTCTGCAACCTTCGCTGGATATCAAACCCTTTCTTCCCTTTCCTCTGGACACTGCTGCGGTCAACCTCTTCCCCAATTTTAATGCGGTAAGTCTCAAGGTCAAATTTGCATATGTCACCGTGGTAAGTGCCTGGGGTACATTTTTTGTTGTCGTTGGTTTTCTTTTTTGAGAGGGTTATTTTATTTTTTTGAGCGAATGCTCATATACATTATTGTGTTATTTCTCAAAGGAGAGTTTGCTGCAGCGTCGTTTCAATACAATATTGGAGGCTATGGGGTTCCTTTTTATAGCTGAGCCTTTGGGATTTGTTATGAACAATAAATTCATTTGGCCACAAGGTTGTAACTTCGTTGCAGAACGGAAAGGGGAGAAGTTGACCCAATAGCCATAAGACTGGTCTTGATTTGCCAGCGGTGAGTCAGTCACTACTTTTGTCTTACTCTATCAACAACAGATAAAGTGAATTATATGAAAGCCACTAAGTAGCTGGCTGCCTGGTTACGTAAGGTCTCCAGAACCAGGCTCCTTCAAGGGAAAATTAAAAGAGGTTTAATCTGGGGCGCCTGGGTGGCTCAGTTGGTTAAGCGTCCGACTTTGGCTTAGGTCATGATCTCGCAGCCGGTGAGTTCGGGTCCCTCATCGGGCTCTGTGCTGACTGCTCAGAGCCTGGAGCCTGCTTCAGATTCTGTGTCTCCCTCTCTCTCTCTGCTCCTCCCCCATTCACGCACCCTCTGTCTCTCAAAGATGAATAAATGTTTAAAAAAATATAAAAAAAAAAAGAGGTTTAATCTGACTGCATTGGTCTTGAGTTCATGTCTCCCTTTTAGTGTCTTTCTGGGTAACACTGACAATTCCATTATTTTGTTGGCGTTTATCTAAATGAAAACCTAATGAATTTGTTATAGAGAACATTATAATTCAAGTAGATGTCTAAAAACATAAACATATTCCTTCTATCTGGATCCTGCACTTTAATTTTCAAATCTGTTGCCACTTTTCTGATTTAATAAAGAGGACCCTGATAATCACAATAATGATACATTCCATTTGAAGAGCACTTTTTTCCTCCTTAAAACAACTCAGTGTTCTGGTAGTGGGAGTTTTTTGGTTTTGGTGTGTGTGCTTTTTCCTTCGTGCCTTGTCACAGTTGCTCAGTTAAGTCTTTCTTAAATTGCTTTATGTTTTGGACTTTGCCAGTGGCCTTCTCAACAAACTCAACGACTTACTTGCTTCTATTTTCACTCTTAGCATCTCTTTATAAGTTGACAGATTTCTCATATTCATCATCATCTCTTTTTGTACAAGCCGTGAGAGAGTATTGTGATGATGAAAATAGAAATAAGGGTTGAAAAGGTTAGAAACCAGAAAGTGACTTTTTTTTCCCCCTAATGTCATCTGATTCAGATTTCAGCAGTTTGTCATAATGCAGGTTTGAGCTTATCAATGACAATGACGGGATGTGTCAACACAACCAAAGCAAAGAGGATTAAGATGGGAGGTCACTGAATGCCCAGTGACCTAAATAATACAGATTTCTTGTTGTAACATCTTGTTCCCATGATGAAATTTTAAAAACTTTCCCACAATTAGATCATTCTCTTTCAAGAGACACAAGTGGGTCTTGTTTTCTTTAATAATACTTCATCGGGGGGACTTTGGTCATGCCAGTGAGAAGGTATAGTTATATGCTAGTCCTTGCTAAAGGGCAGGGGACAATCAGCATGATCACTTTGTTCTTTTAGGGGTGAGGGATTTTCCATGGAAATCTTACTTTGAAATTGATGGAGCATAAACGGAACTGCATAAAGATCATGTTTCCAAAGTAGAGGTTTCTAATCCAAGGTGTTTCAAGAATACTAGAGAAAAAAATTGCTCAGCATCAAATTCTCTGGTTTTTTAAGTGACCACACAGAAGTCCCCTGGGTTCCCTTTCTCTGCTCCTCTGTTAAGTGGCTTCCTGGCATAGTCTTGCTTCCCAGATACCCGGAGATGATCCATCAAGGTGCTTTACCTGGCCTCTGAGACCACTTGGCATCCTGTCAGTTCGGTCTCATGTCAGCTTTAGAGCATTTGAGGCGAAGTTCCTGGAAGGCTGTAAAAAACTGGGCTTTAAACTTGCGATTTGCCAGTTGAGAAACATTAAAAGCAAAATGATTAATTTGATGGATGTAAGTATTGTTTGTCATAAAAAAATATGAGTGATATGCTCAGCTATTAGACACTGAGCAGTCTCTTTATCCTCTTGACTACTGTTTCCTCCTCTTTAAAGAGAGTGGACCTACTACTCTCTTCCTTTGGGGATTATTTCATTCAAATATTTGAGTTTTTGTGGCAAAGGAGGCATTGTATGATGATCAAACTGGACCCTGCAACTAGACTGACTGCATTCAAATCTCAAAGTTGCTACTTAACCATCAATACAACCTTGGGTAAGTGACACAACCCCATATATCTCAATATCTTCATCTGTAAAATAGGATTAAAAATTAACCTACTTCTTAGGCATGTGGTAATGCTTGTGTGGGTTAAATAATGGAGAACACCACTCGACCCACAGCAAGCACTATTTGAGTGATACGTAGTATGTTCATACATAGCCTGTAAACTCTTGTTGGTTTGAATGTGGCAGTTCATTGACTGATTGCAAAAGTTTGGCTTGATTCTTTTTCCTCTATGATGAATTTTGACTTATGTTTGTATTTGCTCCATTTAAAGGGACCCTCTGTTGCTGCACACCTTAAGTTATTTCCTTTCAGTGCTAGTCAAGCAGCAGCCAAGCAAGGATTAAGCCACTCCTTGCTTCATACTGAAGAGAATGGTTGCAAAGCCCATAATCAGGTGGCTTTGGAATCAGAGTTAGTATAGAGCACTTCTGTAACTAATAGCCTGACTTCTTGATTTTGTAGCAGGTATGAATCTCAATCCATGAATTCAGGGTGTATGAAGCATAATTTTTTTATGCAGTAAATTGATTTTATTCCTGAATCAAAAGCCCATTTTATAATGAAGGGAAATGCAATTTAATTCTGTTTCAGGGTGTGCTGTGGTTCTGGAATGTAACAGGATATCCATCCAGCCCTTGGTGGGAAACTACCTCTGTTCACTAAGCTCTTTATCCACATAGGCATTCATAGATGGTCAGCACCTGGTTAGCATGGCTGTTTAGGCCCCCACCTTCCAACTTTGGACACACAAACTTTGCATGGCTGTTGGTGGTCCCTTCTGCCTAAATGTGCCAAATTACTCTTATCTCTTTGCCAAGAAAATGATGAACCATCTGCCACCCAACAACCTTCCCACATCTGACCTTCTCAAAACAAGTTCCTAAGAATCACAGACTGACTGCCTGTTATATTCCTCTATTTAGGATATGTGTATGGAATTATCTGTCTATTGGGAGTAGGGTGGGGCAGAATGAGGAAAGAAAAAAATATGTGAAATAAAGTCAGGAAAGCATAAATGGATATCTCTGATTATCATCCTTCCACAAGAGCATAAGCCACTGGGTTTGGACATTAGCCGAGAAGAATAATGAAACATCTGTAACACTATGCACAGTTAAAAAGAGGGGAGGTATGCCAGGGAGAAGAGCGTCTCGATCAGCCACCCAGTGGGTTCTGAGCTGGTGCTCCGGCCAGGCTCCTGGCCGGCTCAGGAGTTTGAGTTGCTTCTCGAGTTTCTGTCTTCCTTCTGATTCTCAGCGATGTTTGTTCTCCTTGTCCCAAAAATAAATAAACGTTGAAAAAAATAAAAAAAAAAAAAAAAAAGGAAAGGAAAACAGGTGTAGACTTTGATCTTAGATATGGATATAGAAGAGGCCATTCGATAAAACCATTAGGATCCCTTGGTCTACTCAGAGCCAACTTTTGAAGAATAGCAACAGAAACTGTTCTCTTGACCTGTTTTATCATGGATGTTTTATCATGGATGTTTCAGTAGCTTTGAGACAAGAGAAAGCTTTCCTTGAATTTTCCCCATGCACCCCCTGTACTGCCCCTCAGTCCCTTAAGACGTTGGAGTCTCAGTGCTTAGGACCATTCTGATCCCAATGATAGTATTCCTGCATCAGCATTTCTTGAAAGGAACCAATCCCAGAAGCAGGTAGGTGATGTTTAGGAAAAGAAATATTAGAAAGTGGTATGAGCTTGGTTCATTCTATCAACTGCTATTTTTTTTTTTTATTTTTTTTTCAACGTTTATTTATTTATTTTTTTGGGACAGAGTGAGACAGAGCATGAACGGGCGAGGGGCAGAGAGAGAGGGAGACACAGAATCGGAAACAGCCGAGCTGAGCTGTCAGCCCAGAGCCCGACGCGGGGCTCGAACTCACGGACCGCGAGATTGTGACCTGGCTGAAGTCGGACGCTTAACCGACTGCTCCACCCAGGCGCCCCTCAACTGCTATTTATTAAGCATCTATTATGTGGCGGGAATAGGGATAACAAAAATTATGTTATGACCTCTGCCATGAAATAATTCAATGTATAAAGGATGTTAAGCAAGTAAATATTTGTCTAAGTGTATAGAGTGCAAGGGCAGGATGGGAACAGGAGTGGAAGGAAGACTGTGTGGTTGGCGCAGTGAGGGTTTGGTGAGAAAAATAGAAACTATTCTAGGCATGCAAACAGGAAGGGACTTAATATAAGGATTTAGATGATAACAAAGCCTTTGTAGGTGGTGGGCAGTAAAACAAAGGTCAGGGACGGCTGTTGTTGGCTCTCAATTTCTCTGCTTCCTTTCATGGAATCAGGAAGTTGCAGAAATACAAGATGCCCAGTAATCCCAGTTACTTTCATCCAGATGCCATGAAACGCCTCTCTTTAGTGAGATCCATGCCTGAATTCTGCTAGCATACACCTGTGGGAATGTAACCTTCAGGTTTCCAGTCCTTGTGCTGTAAGAGGGAGCACAGAGGGGAGAAGGCAGTGCTGAATTGCCAGCAGACTTGACATGATGGCAGAATGGAAAGATTTATGCATCATCAGAAAACTGGAGCATGTCTGCAATCATGGGCAAGAGGCTAAATCCTTTGGAGCCTCCATGTCCTGTTCTGTAAAATGAGAATGACTAAATTTCTCTTAGGTT